CTGGTTTCCTGCTCTAACCCTTGGGCATTGGGATTATAGGCATGTACCACCACACCAGCTTTCGGCAGGGCTGGGGTGGAGCCCAGAGCTGCGTGTGAGATAGGCGGGCACTCTACCAGCTCCCGATCCTCAGGAGGGACATCGGATTTCATTGTCACTGTTGTATGTGTGTGGGGGGGGGCGGGCACATGATAACAGGATGGTGTGTATGAAGAAAAACATGTATTATTTGGTGAAGACCAGAGAGGAATGAAAACACCTGATTGTGTGTGTGGTGGTGGCAGGGGCTTAACAAGAGGCTTTTCTTTCTCTGTTATCCCTAGTTTTGTTTTTGCAGTAACAAGTAACCTCATCATGAGCAAGAACACTCCGTTAGAAGCTGGTGGTGAGCCGGGCGTTGGTGGCACACGCCTTTAATCCCAGCACTCGGGAGGCAGAGGCAGGCGGATCTCTGTGAGTTCGAGGCCAGCATGGTCAACAGAGCGAGTGCCAGGACAGCCTCCAAAACTACACAGAAACCCTGTCTCGAAAAAACCAAAAAAAAAAAAAAAAAGAAAAAAAGAAAAAAAAAAAAGAAGCTGGTGGTGCATCCCGGCGCTGAGAGCTTTGCTTAGAGGCTTTTAACAGCGCCTGTGATCCTAGCCCTTTGGGGGCTGAGGTATGACTGGAAGTATTTTTAGCCTGCGTGGGCAACCTTGTAAGCTGAGATAGGACAGAGAGATAAAGATTTAAGGGGACATAACAACAAAAGGAATCCCTCGCTCCAGGTCTGGTTGAAGTCTTTTCTCCAGCTGAAAATAAAGAATTCGAAACACTTGGGGCTGGAGAGGCGGCTCAGTGGTTAAGAGCACCGGCTGCTCCTACAGAGGACCCAGATTTGACTACCAGCACCCTCTTGGTGGCTCACAGCCATTGGACCCAGGAGATCCAGTGCCTTATGCCCTCTTCTGGCCTCTGCAGGTACCAAGCAAACAGTGAGTCTACAAATGGCGCACAGACACACACACACACACACACACACACACACACACACACACAGGCAAAACACCCATAGGCGTTAAATTTAAACTTTAAAAAGTTCAGCCCAGGTAACAACACTCACCACCAAGTTTGCTGCCACAGAGTAAGTATTTGTTTTCTGTATAGACCTTTTCAGATAAGAATGTCGAAGCAGGACCAGCGAGTTGGTGAAGGCTCACACCACCAGGCTTGACAACTTGCCTTCAAACCCCTGGGACCCACAAAAATGGAAAGAGAGAACCAACTCCCACAGGCTGTCCCCAAATCTCTACATGTGTGCTGCGGCACACATGTACATACATACTAATGAGTAATATTAACAGCAGTGAGTCATGCTAAGGTCTGAGCACACGCCTCCCTTGAGAGTGGTCTCACTCTTTTTCCCGATATTGTCTGGGAATATCGCAAATATGCCTTAAAAGACACAATAAAAAATAGTCAGGAGGTAGCAGGGTACACCTTTAGTCCTAGCACTCTGGAGGTGGAGGCAGGTGGATCTCTGTGAGTCAGAGGCCAGCCTGGTCTACAGAGCAAGTTCCAGCATAGAACTACGTGGAGAAACCCTGTGTCCAAAACCAAAACAAAACAAAATTAACCTGGGGTTAGAAAGATGACTCAGCATCTACTTGCTGCTTTTCAAGAGAACCCAAGTTTGGTTCCCAGAACCATCTGAGGTGGCTCACTGGCTGCCTGTCAACTCCAGCTCCAGGGGGTCTGATGGCCTCTTCTGGCTTCAGTGGATACCCACACAACACATGGAGCTCATGTAAACACATGTTAACATAAATAATGGAGTAACTCTTTTAAAGGATTTTATTCGTGTGTGTGTGTGTGTGTGTGTGTGTGTGTGTGTGTGTGATGTGTCTGTCTGTGTGGTGCATGTGTGTGATGTGTGTGTGTGGTGTGTGATATATGTATGTGTGTATATGTGTGTGTATATGTATGTGTGTATATATGTGTGTGTGTGAAATTGTCAAAGGATAACTTGATTAATACAAAGTTTTTCAGAATCTTCTCTAGTCTGAGTGAGTAAACACAGAAGATAAGCTGAATTCCACACGCTTGTAAAATAATTTGCTACACAGATGAGTTTTTGAGATTTCATATCAGGGCCTGTGTTTGCAGACAGCCATGCTCACAATGACAGGTGTTTCCCTCCAGCTTCACCCTGTGGCCCAGTTACAATCTGATGTCCCATGTTCCCCATCTCCTCCTGGTACTCTGGGAGTACAAAGTGGCTTTTAGACTTGTGGTTCCCAGCCTTGGTTTCTCTGTCCATGCCTGCTGCCTACCAAAGTCTGCAGACATATGCATCATCAAATATGAGGAAGCTGTTGGCTAATGGCAGCTGGTTGGCAGAGGGGAGGATTCCGTCAAATATGCAGATCACAGAACATCCACTCCCCCAAAGAGAATTATCCAGTCCCAAATGCCCAGAGTCATGTTGAGAAACCATACTTCTCAGATAAGGGAAGCAAAAACAGGGAGTAGGCCTCTCTTGCTAATCCCGTAGGCTGTTGTTGACAAAGGGCAGAGGAAGTCTAATGAAGGAACACAGGCCAGTCCTGCAACTCTGCCCACCCATATCAACAGTGCCTGGAAGTGTAGGGTCTGGGTGAAGGCCAGCCACACTCAAGCATGCACACACACACACACACACACACACACACACACACACACACACACACCGGAAAAACCAGACTTGCCTCCAAAATGTTGCCATGATGTACATTCCCACCTCAGGACTGGCTTCACGTCAATCATCTCTAGAAAGCCTGCTTCTCCCACAAAACCAGTTTCTCCAGCTCACCCTCATCACAGTTGAGTTTGACTCAGAGAAGCCATAGGACAATTTGGACAGAGCCTCAGTTGTAGCTGAAGGGGAAAATGGCATCAGGGACTCACAGAAGTTAGCAACATCATCTGGAGGCAGGCCAGGCTGTAAGGAGGAAGTACAAACTCCACCCGAAGAACCACGGTGATGTAATGTTTCCGTGGGCTTCACCCTGAGCATTGGCTTGAAGCGCAGTGAAGAGAAAAGCCAGGGGATTTTTCGAAGTCCCGGGCATCACGGAGGAAAAGGGGTTCTGGGTATAAAAAAAAATACCTTGTCACGGTCCATTCTCAGTTCGAGGTGTGCTTAGGACTCATCAAAGAGTCACAGACAAGCAGGAGACTCCAGGGCCCTCTCCCGTGCCAGCTGGGGGCTGGCACCCACTTGTGTCTTAAGAGCTGGGGAATTACAGGCAGTCTGCTGCCCCGGGATGTTCATGGGTTAAGGCTTTGCATCCTGATCTCATGGGACAGGGAATTGGGAAGAGGGCTACGCTGGAATGACTAACTCTCTGGAGGGCCAGCCATTGGGAAAAGGAGAGCAGGAATTTCATGAGATTGGGGGCTTTTAAAAGCCAGTCTGGAGCCAAATTGTCACACCGGCCTTTTCTCCCAGCCGGAGTCCTAGAATCTTATATTAGGAACTATTGGCCTTTGCTGGTCTCGTGAATGCGATATTACATTATGAGGGTCTTGTTTCTCACACAGATGGGAAAAATAGCATCAGAGCCACGTGGGGGCGGTGCAGAGCTGTAATCGGGCACTTGGGAAATGGGGGTACATGAAATGAAAGATTAAGAGTTCAAGGTCAACCTTGGTTAATTAAGTGCGTTTGGGGGCCAGACTGGGCTGTAATGAGAAAACAAAATTTCTATTACTGGATGGTGAAAAATGGGAACTCGTTGGCTGGCTGTGGCCTGGCCAGAGCGTTTCTTACAGCTGCTAGGTTCTTTGCTTCAGCCTTAGGCTAACTGTGCGACCCTGGTCGCAGCCCCTTCCTTTGAGGAAGTAAGTGCTCTCCTGTGGACAGGTTAAAATGAAGATGGACCGCTCTTCGGTTGTGTTGAGACCTGCCCATGTGAAAGGTCTTTTCACCCCAAAGTCTGTGATACCAGAACCTTAATAGTAAGCATTCTGAAATCACAGCCGGAGGACTCTGGCAGCCTCCACAGCAACAAGAGGGGAGTCTTCCCTTAACCAGGTTTCCAGGGTGAAGGGTGTGTGGGCCCAGATGTGCAGAGCAGCCGTACTCCCCAAAGCCTCGTCCAATTCTCCCCTTCAGTGGAAGGGCTTTTGTCTCACCAGCCCAGCAGAGGACGGGGTGCCCGCGCCACAAGCAGCTCCAAGGTATCAGGAAAAGAAAGCCCAGGTGTCCAGCTGTTTGTACTAAGAAGTGTCTTTATTTTGCAAGTGCTAAGAGGTCTCTCTCCCTTGTAGGAGGGAGCAGTCTTATGTATACATATAGTCTTACAACACAGAAGAAAAGCCCCAGGTGGAAGAGAGCGTGTTTTCCTCGTGCTAGATGTTGGCGTCAGTGGGGCAATGCGGGGGCAGGAAGCCAGGACTAGAAAACAGGATGCACCTGTGGCTATCAGCTGACAAACAACTCAGAGACCCTGTGGGGGCTAGGCCCCAGCAGAGGACTTCTGACTGTAAATTAAGGAACCTTGTAAGAGGCAAGAGAGGGCCTGAAAAAAAAAGATGATTATCATTGTGTATGGGATGTGTGTAGGGTGCGTGCAAGCTGTGAGTATGTGAATGGGGAGGGTCAGAGGATTACTTTGTGGGCTTGTCCTCTCCCCCATCTCTCCGTGGGACTGGCTTCAGGCTCACACAGAAGCACTTTAACCTGCTGAGCCTTCCTGCCAGGGTGGGAGGACCTTTTGAAGCAGGGAAGTGGGCTGGGACACAGGAGTTTGAACAGATCAATAAACATGTTTCCCTGCCAGGTGTGGAGTAGCACACCTTTAACACCTTTAATCCCAGCACCTGCCACATCCAGGCAGATGGGTCTCTGTATTCAACACCAGTCTTTTTTTTTTTTTCTTTTGGTTTTTCGAGACAGGGTTTCTCTGTGGCTTTGGAGGCTGTCCTGGAACTCGCTCTGTAGACCAGGCTGGCCTCGAACTCACAGAGATCCACCTGCCTCTGCCTCCCGAGTGCTGGGGTTAAAGGCGTGCACCACCAACGCACGGCTTCAACACCAGTCTTGACGGGGTCTTTGAGAAGGAAGATTGAAGGAGAAGCCTCAAGAGCAGACTGTCTTGGGCAAACTCAAGGTCGATGTTGCTCACGGTGCCCTGGCCCAGGATGTATGGGGTGTGGTTGCCCTCTCGGGGTCCCCCAAGCAGAGCCTTTCACCCCTGCAGTGGTTTGGACCTCCTTCCAAATGCTTGAGACGCCAGCGTCCAGAACCGCTGCAGACCTGACTCCACGGCAGCAGATTTCTGCCTTTGCTGGGTGCATGGTGGCCGCCGAGATCTTGGTCCAGTTCTTCACTCCGGACCCTTGCCTTGGTTTAACCACGGCCAGACTTGCCCGGGTCACACAGCTTAAATGGATTCAAAGTCTCCACCAGCGGAAGTGTCTGGCAACCCCTGGAGAAGAGTGTTCGCCTACCGGATCCTGTCTCTCTATTCGTCCGAGGTCAGCACAGCCAGAGGAAAAGTTGGAGCCGGTTTGTGCAGGAGAACGTTACCTGTGATGGTGGGTGGCGAGATGCACGGAGGCAGACTCGGGAGGGAAGCCTCGAGAGTCTGGAGACCGGAGCGATTTCTGCTCTCGAGCTTCCTGCTCCCCTGCTCGTGGCTCAGGATGTGAGCCCTCGGCTTGCTCCTCCAGTGACTCTACCCGCGCTTCCCTCCCCTGAAGGACTTTATCCCTCAGAAACCGGAAAGCCCAAACAGACGCTCTTCTATAAATTGCCTTGGCCACCGGCGTTTTAATCACAGTAACTGAGACGCATGATGACCCAAGTCAGATCGTCAGATCCCTAGGGCCCACACAGTTTTCCTCTGATCTCCACATGTGCAAGGTGCCATGGGTACACACACATACACATCATATGCAAGATAAGTAAATGCAAGTAAAAAATGTTAAAAAGAAAACATACATATATGTATATGTGTGTATATACGCACACACATATACATATATACATACATACATATATATATATATTTGAGTCAGGACTCAGAAAAAGTGGACCAGCGTAGCAGTAAAGATCTACAAGCAATTGGCTGCCATATGATGGGCTCGTCCTCTCTGTTTTTGGGACAGTGTCTCACACAGCCTAGGCTGACCCCAACCTATGTAGTAGCTAAGGATGACCTGAACTCCTGCCTCCACCCTCCGAGTGCTGAGACGATGGGTGTCCTCTGCTGTGCGGGAGAACGAACCCAGGGCCTTGCACGGGAGGCAAGCAACATTCTGTCAACTAAGCTACACCCCCGGTCTTGAGTTTTCCCTTTTAAAATGTCACGTAATCCCTTCGGTAAGAAGGATCCCAAAGGGTTCCTCTCTTGAGATCAGCAGCAGCATATCAGGGAGGTGGGCTCTGAAATTCTGAAGGGGCTTGACTGAGAGAACACTGTTCTTACTGTGACAAGTATTTCCACAGGGAAGGAAGGCCGGCAGGGACCAGCGTGCTCTCGAGATACGTCTACCCTGTGACTCAGGTGTCGTCTGACCTCTGAACTCCATGAGCTAGCTTCAGGAACCAGAACTAGGGTTTGGCTATCAAGGAATCTGGTTCCGATGCCATCTCTGCTACCTGCTGGCCGAAGGATGCTTGCAACTCATTGAGCTACTGGGTCTCAGCTGGGGTCTTTTTAAAGCCTTCTGGGTGGTTCTAATGGGCAACCGGTGTGAAGTAATTTCTGCGGGCGGATTTCCCCATGATTTTTGCTCTGAGCCCATAAAATGGGGCGATTACTCTTACCTAAAATTTACTTTCCAGGTGCTTAGTTGGCATGTCCCTCATTTCACTATCAGAAAAGGCCCACAAGTCAGCACCACTCAAACCCTAGGGTCAGTGGAAGAACTGAGATTCACAGTGTCCCACCAGCCTCCGGTCGCTCTATCAACAGGGATTTCAGACTCAGTGGAATTGCTGAGGATCAACCAGGCACACGAGCCAATAGATAATACAAAACTAGAGGAAAAAATTGTTCCGGCAGCTTCCCAAGTAATCTGAAGTTCTGTATATAGACACACACACACACACACACACACACACACACACACACACACACACACACACACACACACGTACTACAGGGCGCATGAAACTCAAAACCAAAGCCTTACCTCCAGCGCTGGATTCCCCGGGTCAACTTTGCACTGGGCTCCCAGCAACGAGGTCTGTGGCTTCCCTGCTGGGGTGTGTGTGGGCTCAGATACGGCAGGATACTCTGGAGTTTGAGTCCTGAGCGCCTCTGTCTCCTCAGGCAGCCAGCTTGAATCACAGGAAGGCGTGTAAGTACAGCTCATGCCAGCAAAGCCTCCTCGAAAGTCCTGACCTCTTCCCTCATCAGTACTGAAATCACCTGGGGGCTTTGCTGAGGCCCTGTTGGGACGGCCTCACAGGTGGGGTCCCTCAGAGGCGGTAGCCCAGGGACCACACTTTCTGTTTTTCTGTTTTGTTTTGGGTTTTTTTTTTTTTTTTTTTTTTTTGGTTTTTACGAGACAGGGTTTCTCTGTATTGTTTTGGAGGTTGTCGGTCCAGCCCGGCTTCGAACTCACAGAGATCTGCCTGCCTCTGCCTCCTGAGTGCTGGGACTAAAGGCGTGTGCCACCACTGCCTGGCGGGACCACACTTTCTAAGCACTGGACTAGACAAGTGAATGCCATTGTCCCCTGAGCCTCGTGAAGCTGACTTTGGGGTATCCTGTGAGGCTACTTCATGTGTGGATTGGCACAGGGATGATGCCACCCCTTTTGTCAGCTTGAGGGACGGAGGTCCACGGTGGAATGGTTAGGAAGAAGTACATTTCAGCACACGAGGGCTAGGAATTTAGGGTTTCCAATCTGTGGGGCCAGGTAGTACCTCAGGCTGGATAGGACTGACCCAGGAATGTCAGTCTAGCCGTGAACCCAAGTCCTGGGAGAAAGGCAAGGCTCCAACAGTGAGGGTCACAGGGCCGGGGACACAGCTCAGGGGTAGGGGGCCTGCCGCCCAAGCATGGGGCTCTGTGTCCAACCCCCACTGAGAGAAGCATCCACAGACAGCGCGTCCTATAGGACAGTGCTTACGAGAAGGAAAGCCAGCACCAGAGTGCTCCTTCAGGCAGAGCTTGACGTGCGGGGTGTCCTCCAGTTCATGCCCTGAGCTTGAGGAGAGTCACCAAAGCCAAACGGAGGGGCCCCGAGTCCTGTGAGGCTCTCGGGGTGCCGTGAAAACAAACAAACAAAAAAACCGAGCTTACATGAAGCTTCCTGATGTGTGAGACTGTTCTTGAGAACTGGTGGTGGTGGGGTGGGGTGGGAAATGTCTCCTGCCCAAAGCTGGCGGGGGGACTCTGGACAGCGCCCAAGTTTCTGGCTGGTGTACAGGCAGCTTTTGCATGGTGTCTGTTGGTTCTGTTCCTACCCTGGAAGAGGTAGGAGAGGCACCCACACTCTTGAGTGTGGGCGCACGTGTGTGTGCGTGTGCCTGTGCCTCGTACGCGAAGTTATCATTTTCCCAGGTGGTTTCTACCTTTTTTTTTCCTGGGTCTCTCACTGGCCTGGGGCTCACAGACTGGGTTCTGCTGGCCGTCAGAGAGAGCCAGGGATCACCAAAAAAACCAAAAATAAATAAATAAATAAATAAATAAATAAATAAAAGTAGTTCTGGGTATTTCACACGCGTCTTTGTGCCCTTCACCAACCCAGCAGCCATCTTCCCAGCCCAGGTTTGTGGTTTATTTGTTTTTTTTTTTTTTGAAAGAGTCTCACAATGTGGCTCAGGCTGACCTCAAACCTGCCATGGGATTCCTGCCTCAGCCCCCTCCCCCGCCCCCCCCCCCAGTTCTGGGATTAGGGGTGTGGCAATTGCACCTTACTCTTCTTCACTGTGTGTGTGTGTGTGTGTGTGTGCGCGTGCGTGCGTAAGAGCCAGAGCCGTCAAGACCAGTGAGATCTCCAGAGATCTACAAGGATGACACCAACTGGCAAACTAAGCAGTAGTGGAAAGACTGCCTTAAATGCCCCTCCCTGATAATGATTTTGACGACCACCTTACATGCCATCCTAGAACCTCCATCCAGTGACAGACGGAAGCAGAGGCAGACACTCAGGAGTTAGTTCTCTCCTTCTCCTGCGTAGTCCCTGGGGACTGAACTCCGTTCCTCAGGCTTGGCGGCAGGTGCCGTTGCCTACGGAGACATCTTCTCAGCTCTTTGGCCTCTTCTCCTTGTCGCTTCCTTTCATTTGCCCTGACTGGAGCCTCGGGAGGACTCAGATAGAAATCTGTCAGAGTGGCAAGCCTGACGTGGATGCTGGTGTGGACATTTCAGGGCAGGTGGGGGGATGAAGGGGGATGGGGGAAGTGGGGGGGAGTGAGTAGCGAGCCTCCCCTTCAAACGACCTTGCTTCAACCCCTCTATAGACCAGGATTCTCAGGGGAGGCTCCTCACCAGTCACCTGCGAGGCCAAGATGGGGATGGTCTGAAGGCTTTTGTCTGCCTTTCCCTCTTCCCTCAGAACCCCAGTGCGGCCCTCCACGCTGGTCCTGACTCACCAGATCAAGTTGCTGTAACGGAAAACAAGAGCAAAGCCAAAAAAAAAAAAAAAAAAAAAAAAAACCACGTCAGACGGTGACTCAGAATAGATCAGAATAGAGTGCTGGGCAGTCTGGGAGCAGCTGCTCTCCTCCGGGGTGACTCTCAGTGGAGGACAGGAAACCAGGAAATCGCTGCAGGAGGAGAGAAGTGTCACGTGCAGATGCTGCCTCCTGGGAATCCGGTCCAGCCCTCTGTTAAGGTATTCCTAGAAGTCTGCCTTCCCAAAACCCCTTAACAGGTTCTTAAGCTTGGCCTCGTTGGCGCAGACCTTTAATGCCAGAACTCCGCTGGTGGAGGGAGGCAGGTGGGTCTCTGTGAGTTTGAGGCCATCGTGGTCCACATTGCAAGTTTTCTGGCAGTCAGGTTTGTACAGTGAGACTCTGATTCAGAAAGAAAAGAAAGGAAGGGAGGAAGGGAGGAAGGGAGGAAGGAAGGAAGGAAGGAAGGAAGGAAGGAAGGAAGGGAAGAAGGAAGGAAGAAGGCTTTTAGATCAGCTGATTGTGTGTTATACCCCTCTCTCTGGGTGTGGAGCATGTTAGCTCACGGTTGTAACCTTGGCGTTTGGGAGGTAGAGGAGGGAAGGCTGAGACTAACCCTGGGTTGCAAGAGTTCCTGCCTCATAAAAGGAGTGTGGGTTGGGGAAGATGTCTCTACACGAGAACTTGAGTTTGATGATAACACCCACATAAAATCCTGAGCATGGTGGCATATACTCGTAATCCCATGATCAGTAAGACAGACACGGTCCGAAACCCAGGGATTTCCTGGCCAGTCAAGGCAATCTGATCAGTGGGTTCCATGTCCCAGTGAATGATCTGTGTCTGAAAAAAACTATTGAATGACACTTGAGGTTGCTCCAGTCACTACCTGAATGTGGGAGACACAAGTGCACCCCCTCCCATACACACAAGAGAGAGATAGAGAGATAGAGCAATCAATCAAACCCCTGTCAAACCCCTGCACCTTACAGGTCACTGCCGATGTCTTTATGGCTACCCATGACTAAATATCATCCACGGGACCCCAATCTACTGATCATTCATTCAAATACGCACTGTGCCATTCCATTAACGGAAATTTACTAGCGGCCAAGTGTCTATGGGGCTGGCATAGGACAGACTGTACCTCTGTGGCCTCGCAGTGGGGGACTGAGTGTCAGGTGTGAACCTAGGAATCCAAAGGACTCAGATGTGACCTGGAGGAGGTCTGAATCCTGCTATTCCTCGTCTTCCTGCAGACGGCCAGTAACAGATAAAACCACAGAGCAGTCCAGCGAGACCTTGGAGACTGGCCAGTGTCTGTGAGTCAGCTTCCAAGTCAGGCTTGCTTGCCTTCGGACACTCAAGCAGCCGCCTGCGTTACCCCTGTGGGCAGCCTGACTTCATGCACGTGGGTCACTGTGCATGATGCTAACACCCACATAAAATCCCGAGCATGGTGGCGTACGAGTGTAGCAGCAACAGCTCTTCAAACAAGGAACATTGTGCAGACTTACTGTGTCTTGCTGTAGTTCAAACAGCAGGCATTCCAGAACAAGGTGTAATGGAAACCAGTGTGGTCTCTCTGCTTGAGTTTTGTCAATGACCTGGTATCCTCACTGGTTATCTTATCTTTCAGTTCAGGAGGAGGTAAAGTGTGTGTGTGTGTGTGTGTGTGTGTGTGTGTGTGTGTGTGTGTGTGTGTATCATGGTCTTGCTAGGTAGTCAGGCTGGCCTCCAGCCTACTTTATAGCCTTGGGCAGGCCTTGAACTCACTATGTGGCCCGGGCTGACTTTCGCCTCATAATGCTTCTGCCTTAGCTTTTTGAATGCCAGGATTACAGATGTGCTCTATATCTGAACACATCTGCATTTTTGTCACTTGTCACTGGAAAAGAAAAGAATTCTTTCCCTCTCCCTCTCCAAGAACAAGGACATTTTCTTAACTATAGCAGAATATAGCAGAAGTTACAGGATTTTATGATAATGATGGTATGTTGGTACCTAACTAATTTTCCATTGATGTTATTTATAATTATTTTCCCTTGATTCGGAATCTGGTCTTGTATTTAGTTGACAACGTCCCTTTATTTTCCCTTCATTAGGACCAGTTCGTCAGCCTGACTTTTCTTTTTCCTTTAATGCTACTGGCATTTTCCGAGAGAATATAGGCCATAGCTTTGCAAAGTGTCTGCTGGTCTTGGCTCTGTCTAAAAAAGAAATAAAAGGGCTGGGTATATGTCTTGGTGACTGTTCTATCGCTATGAAGAGACAGTATCATGGTTTGAATAAAAACACCCCCCCAAACCGGGCATTGGTGGCGCACGCCTTTAACCCCAGCACTCGGGAGGCAGAGGCGGGCAGATCTCTGTGAGTTCGAGGCCAGCCTGGTCTACAAAGTGAGTTCCAGGACAGCCTCCAAAGCCACAGAGAAACCCTGTCTCCAAAAACAAACAAACAAACAAACAAAAAAAAAACAAAAAACAAAACCCCCAAGGCCTATAACTATTAGGAGGTGTGGTCTTGTTGGAGGAAGTGTATCATTGGGGTGGGCTTTGAGGTCTCCCTTGCTCAAACCACGCCCAGTGAGGCGTTCTCTTACTGCTGCCTGTGGAGGTGCACACCTTTAATCCCAGCGCTTGGGAGGCAGAGGTAGGTGGATCTCTGTGAGTCCAAGGCCAGCCTGATCTGTAAAGCAAGTTCCAGGACAGATAGAAACACACAGAGGAATCATGTCTTAGAAAGAAGGAAAGAAAGAGTTGTCATGGTCAGGGCGTCTCTCAATAGCAATAGAAACCTCAACTAAGACAGACACCACGACCACAACTCATAATAAAAGAAAGCATGTAATTGGGAACTTGTTTACAGCGTCAGAGGTCCAGTCCATTATCTTCACATGGGAAGCTTGGTGGCAGTTGCTGCGGCAGTAACTTGAGAGCTACCTCCTGATCCATAGGTAGAGAAAGAGGGAGACACTGGGCCTGGTGTGGGCTTTCGTACCCTCAAAGCCCACCCACCAGCGACACACCTGGTGACCAAGCATTCAAATCTATGAGCCTATGGGGGTCCATTCTCATTCAAACCCCCACAGCACGGTTGCTCCCGGCAGGAGAATTGCTACAAGTCTGAGTCCAGCCTGGGCAGCATGTGAGAGCCAGTCTCAAACAAACAAACAAACAAACAAACAAACCTCTAGTTAGCTGTTTGCCTTCACTAAAGACATCGCCTACAGCATCAGCTCTTCCCTATCTGTTAACACACCTAACTCCATTATGTATTTAGCCTGGGTTCTATAGAGAAACAGGACTGATAGAATTCCTTCTACAAAGGAACAGAATGTGTAGGGATTTATTGGGGGGGTGGCTGTGATTACAGGCTGTGATCCAGCTAGCCCAACTTTTTGTCTTCCAATAGAAAAATCCAAGGATCCAATAGTTATTTGGTCCATAAGGCTGGATGTCTGGAGCTGGTACTCAATATATATCAGAATCCCAAAGTCGTAGGCTCTAATGCCAGTGAAAGAATGGGCTTGCCCAGTGACCGAGAGAGCAAGCAGGCAGAGAGAAAGAGCTTCCTTCTTCCACGCCCTTTATATGGCCGCCACCAGAAGGTGTGACCCAGATTAAAGGCGAGAGCTTCCCACTTCGAATGATCCGATCAAGAAAAATCCCTCACAGATGTTTTGGTTTTAGTTAATTTCCAGTGTAATCAAGTTGACAAGCAAGAGCAGCCATCACACCATACCTACACTGGGCATGGGCGAGCCTTCTTAACATCTGGGGCTCCCATGGCGCCAACTGTGTCTTTCAAGGAGTTCATCCCTTCACATCCCCCAGTGAAGACAGGAGTCGGTACCTAGAGCTGGTGCCTGGGCTCTTGGCCTTGACTTCTAAATACCAGCAGCAGACAGCAGTCTCAGACATCTGATAAAACACGTGGTTTGGAAGAATATTCTAGGAACAAGCGCATCAGAAAGGATACAAAAAAGCAGTTTGGAGAAAACAACCTATAGAGGAAGATGAGAAAAGTACCAATATCTGTCATGAGACATTGCAATCATTAAATATCA